AGACAATCGCAAAGCTAGCTGATATCTCAAGGCGTATTTTAACTTTGTACTGGCCTCGTATCCTTTGGGAGCCAACTTAGATACTAGGTTAGAACCATTCGGTCCTCATATGCTGTGCTATTCACGCCACATAGAAAAGTGGTTCTTAATCAACAAGGAAGTACTAAACCCCACCATCTTTATATAAGAACTCACCGAACCTTATTAATAGTTCTACTGTCCGTACTGAAGCAATCAATTGTCAATCAATTAACTCCGATGTGTTTTGACCTGCTCCGAACCTCTTATTCTAACCCAGATTAAGAACTACTGCTTTATTGTCAAAATAAAATTTAAAGTTTATGATATAAGGCAGTGATTGGGGAGGGGGGGGGGGGGGCGAGTGGTTATCCCAATAATTAAACAGTTCAGTACTGCGCATAGGAGAAATGACGCCACGTTAGAAAGACAATTTCCAGTTTTGCGAGCCTCAGCAACATTCTTTTCTGATGTGCTTCTCCACGTCTTCTTGTGAGTTCGTTATTTTGTTTTTTCTTGAAGGCAACGGATTAGAAAAGGGATTTTTTAACTTTAGTGAACTGTTTTTATTCTATTTTAGTAGTGTAACCTCTTTTATAATTCTAGTAAAATACAGACCAAATAGGTGAATTTTTTTCCCACCCGTCTGGTTTGGTTAATGTTTAATTTGCGTCCAGTCTAATTTGCTATTATAGAAAGTTCAATTCTATATGTGGCGGGCGGATCCTTGACAACAAAGAAATATGGGAGTCGTCCATAAATGACGTCACATTCGTATGGGGAGGGGGGCTCTGTAATTTTGTGATGGTGTGTGATGAAGGGGAGGGAGGGTTCAGATGGTGTGACGTCACACTTTTGCATTATAAAAAAAGCAATGTTAGAAAACGAATTTAGACGTTTTTCGCGTTTTAGAAAAATGTTTTAATAAATTGTAATATGAAGTGATTAAAATACTCTATTTTAACAACGTTCGGACAAGATTTTAGAAAAATATCGATGTTTTAAAAAGAAATTCAACTGCAATTTTGAGTGGGTTTGTTGGATGAGTGTGACGTCATTTTAGGGGGGGGGGTCTGGCTTTTTGTGACGATGTGTGACAGAGGGGAGGAGGGAGGAAGTAAAAAGCGTCAAAAAAGCGTGACGTCAGTTATGGATGACCCCTATAATATATTAATCTATTGTTATCGTCGTAGTGTTATACGTTTAAATACTTATCGTCTAAATTCATGATTTAAAAACATTAATATTGAATGTGTTGTAAAACAATTTTATTTTTCAAACTTATAGTGATAAGTATCGGCATGTCCATCAAACAAAATTTAAAAAAAAAAAATGTATTACCTTTCGCAAAAATTCTAATTGTGTCTGAAAATTATTAACCTTTAGTACTTTAGCACTCATTACGTCCCTTGGGCATAAAAATACTTACATAATTAGCGTGGATTGATCAAGTGCAATGCTGCGTAGATCTTTTTAAAACACCGCCTTTTATTTATTTAATACAATGAACATACTGTTTAATACGTATTTAAAAAAAATCAATAACAGTTAATTAAGAAGCCTTCTCTTAAATGTCCTCTATGTTTATTTTTTTCCGTTTGCGGATAAGCTTGGCTATTATATTTATTCACTAAATTGAAAAAGGCGACAGGGTTCGATTTGGCGCCCTTTGCTATCCTGTTAACGCTATGGTGTATAATTTCGTTTTAAACAGTGCGATAGACTATGGGAGATCCGGACAAAAAGACAAGACAAAAGGCCGACAAGTTTTATAAAACAACAAACTACAATTACAGACATGATTAATATCTAAAATATGTAATTATATACGATTATTTAAGTTTCTAATAAATTTTATCTTAGGTACATACAATAGGATAAAATAATACACACAATGTAACCAATTATTTGTTGACGATATATTGGTCCATATATAGGGAAATCACAAGGGCAAGTTTACACACACACAAACAATAACTTACCAATTTTGGCACGCTTGTATCATAATCACAACAGGATTAATAAATCCAACGAATATAGTATACACTTTTTTTCACGCATTTCGTAATGGACGAAACTAAAATAGAATTTAAAGTTTGTCGCTATTTAACATGTAGTCCAGTCAAGGCACGTGATCGTGATTCTGCATTCGATTTCTTTGATTTCTTTGCGTAATATGGTCGTAACGCCACCAATCTCCAGTCGCATGGACCCAATTGTCCACCTTATAAAGATCGCAACTAACATTGTCTCTTCCACCTTGTTGCATGTGGGCGATAATGCCGGCAGCTTTTGACTTTTTTGATTATTTCACCCTTTGACATAGAAGGAGCTATGAAAGACAGCAGTGACAGCATTTCGCAATATTAAGGTGTTGATCCTTTGTGTTTAAGACACTACCGTAATCTCCAGTCGCTTGGCACGATGGTTCACCTTATAAGGATAGCAACTAGCACCGTCTCTACTCTTGAACGTTTCACCTTATTTCATGCCTTATTTCGATGGTTGCCAAGATAGAAGCTATGCAGTAGCACATATTTTGCGATATTATTATTTTTTATGCTTGTCGGCCTTATGGTTTGTCGGCCTTATGGACTGTCGGCCTTTTGGCTGTCGGCCTTATGTCCTGTCAGCCTTTTGTCCATGTCGGCTTTTTGTCCGTGTCGGCCTTTTGTCTTGTCGGCCTTTTGGATGTCGGCCTTTTGTCCTACACCCAGACTATGGATAAGAAAGATTACTATAGTCTTGAGGTGAATCGAATCCGGGCATCCTCAAGCGCTCCAAAATGGTGCTATTTGGCTTCCCGGGTATCTCCATGTTCGCTATGACGTCTACGTTTTTGTTTCAGTGAGTGCTAAAGACTATGCATATGTTGGAGTACTATAGTCGTTTACTAGGCTGAAACAGGCGGTTCTGCCAGTGCCCCAGCATGGTGCGATTTTGCGCCCCGGGCTAGACTGTGAGCACTTTGCGTTTATGTTTATGTTTATGTTTGCGTTTGTGCTTGTTTTCTTTGTATTGTGGTTGGGTTTGCGTTTGTGGTTGGGATTGTGTTTGTGTTTTAGTATGGACTTGGTTTGTTTTTGTTTGGTTTTTTTGTTTGCGTTTGTGTTTTCTTTGTATTTTTGTTTGCGCTTGTGGATGGGTTTGTATTTACATTTGTATTTACATTTCTGTTTTCGTTTGTGTTTGTATTTGTATTAACGTTTGTGTAATGTTGGTCCTTTACAGATAGTTTTTTCACAGAGGCCAGTGCAGGGCCTTACCGGGACGGCAAGTGTATATATAAATATATATAAGTATATAAGTATATCTCTATACATATAATTATCTTCTGGGAGACGCTAGAAAACAAGCTGTAAACGCGCTCCCTACCATCCCCACCCCTACATGGTCTTAGTGAGCTGTGGTTCACGCTATGTTTACCTTCGTGGAGTCGGGTTTAGCGACGGCTATTAGGGGCTGATAATTTAGTTTGAAACAATTTTAAACGTTGGGGGGGGGGGGGGGGAGGGGGGGAAGGGGGGTATGGTCCTTAACGAGCTACTAATAGTGTTTTAAAGAATTATTTTCAGTGTCAGCGTTGGTACTGTCGAATTCACAAATTATGAATTACTGAAAAGTAGAAAAAACAACAACTAAATAGCGGCGTACGTTATGCCGCGGGCCGGCTCGTATAAGTATAATATTTAAGTATAAGTATATATATATATATATATATATATATATATATATATATATATATATATATATATATATATATATATATATATATATATATATATATATATATATATATATATATATATATATATATATATATGATATGTAGGTCTATAGGCCTATATATACGTATATGTATATACACATACATATATACATATATATAGGGATATATATATATATATATATATATATATATATATATATATATATATATATATATATATATATATATACTGGTGTGCATGTGGGCTGATAAAAGCTGATAGATATTGTATCAGACTGAGTGGTTGATCTAATATGATACTCTTGCAGTAATTCATTACTGCTGTCAAATTAAGTTAGCGATCCATTGCACATGTGACAGCTGTAGCTTATTGCCTATTGAATCACGATATAAATTAGAGCTTAACTGTAATCTCCAACCAACACGTTCGGCGAACAAAAGAAAATTAGTATTCCCTCCTGATGTGTCGTATCTCAAACAACAATATTTTATAGAGAAATGTGAAACCGTGGGTGTCGAATCTGTGTGACCTGGGTCTGGTGTAAAACAGTTAAAGAGTGTGAAGATTTCACTGTACATGCTGTTCTTTAGAATATTTGCAATTTTAGCACACACACATACACACACACAGACATATACGCACACGCATGTGCAAAGCATGTATACGTATAAAAAATACACGTATATAGGCCCTATATAAATAAATATATATATATATATATATATATATATATATATATATATATATATATATATATATATATATATATATATATATTTATATAAATAAATAAATATATATATATATATATATATATATATATATATATATATATATATATATATATATATATATATATATAACAATTAAAACAAAACGTATTCATTTCGCAAAGTTTAGTTTGTTTTAATAAATCAAATAGAATAAAGTGTCGTTTATAACATTTGGTTTTAGAGATTTTTTTATCTGGTCTTGTTGTAGTTTCCTCTCATGTTAAAATGTTGTTTGTGTTCTTTTTAATTAAGACCATTGCGATCTTCATTGGTTTTATTTTTTTTTTCAATTTAACTGTTGTTGTTCATTGTCATGGTTATGCTATGGTCAATGTAATGCTTATATCGTGGTCATTGTCGTTCTTATATTGAGTTCAATGTCAGAGTTACATTGTGGTCATTGTCCAGGTGTACTTGAGTTCATTGTCACGGTCATATTGTATACATTGTAATACTTATATTTAGTGCATTGTCACGGTTATATTGGGTCATCTGTTATATTGTACCATTTAATGTCAATCCCATCTGGTACAATGTCCTCGATCGTCCCCTTCAGATTAATAGCATACGTGTCCTCGTTAATCAAAAAGTCAAGAACACTACCAGCATCATACATAGGGTCATTCGTTTCGTTCCAAAAAACGGGATAGGACTTCTGCTCTCTCATATGCCTCAGCGCGGTGTAGAATGGCGTTGTTGAGTTTCCGATTTCGTAGGTAAATATTTCTGGTTCAATTTTAAGACGGGGATCTGTTTTATTCCGAGGGTCCGGAAGGTCACGTTGAAGAAATCCGCTAAATGTAACACTGAAGGTTGGGAGAACCTTAGCTATGTATTTAGTTTCAAATTTTTCGTATCGTGCGTTGGCAACGTATTTCATCTGATTTCTTCCATCAAATGCCTTCCCTTTTGTTCCTCTAATTGTCCTGAGTTGTTGGTTATTTGTTTCGTCATAAGAGGTATCTATTGTGGTGTAGTTAAAAATGAAAGAGGCATTGCTATTCATGTCTTTAACGGGGACAGGGTTGTAGCGTATAGTGATTCCCAGCTTGTCAAAATCTGGCCATTTACTTTTTGGTGTGTGCACTACACGTCGGTAGTGATGGAAACCTACAATGTGACGCTCAGCATATTTATCTTTACCCCCATGACTGTCAGCAATACCTGTTAATAAAAACATTGCTTTCACAGGACGTCTTATACGTTTCTTAAAAACAGTGTCCTTTAACATAAAACCCCAATCCTTTAGTGTGATTGAAAGTCTTTGTTTGCTCTTGTATCCATCACATTTTCCAGAGGTATCAGCATGCCAAGTTTCACCTCTACGTTTGAAACCTTCACCGATAAAATGTGCTAGGCAACCTTTGCAGTAAGCGAAACCTAACTGATTAGCTAATTTGGCAGTATCAGACAGAATTACGTCCATGATCCACGATTTCACCTTGTCTACTGAGTTGAGGCCCACCATCGTTTTTTGCATCTGACAACACTCTATATACGCCAAACAAAACGTATGACCTTTGCCTCCATCTTTAAAGATTCCTTTCGCGTAAAAACCGTTCTTACATTGACAGACTTGGTGATTATACAAACATCCGACTACGTCTACTGAATCGCACGACCCTTGGACGTTAGGATATCTCAATGGCCTTGAACACCTTACGTGGTCAATGTTGTAATCTTTGTAGTCACCAACAGATTTTCCGTATATCGCGGTCAAAAATGTACCTGTAGTGCATCGAGCCCATCCAGAAGTGAAGTTTAGAGTCCGACTCCAGTCAACGTAAACATCATGAAAATTTGTCTTAGTCCAGGGATAAGGAGGAACAGCGCATGTGGCTTTGTCTAACAGATTAACCGTCACATTGCTGACTTGATCACCAAATACCTTTCGAGCGGCTTGGCTGAAAGTACATCGTTCGAATCCATCATCTCTGTTGAACCAGAATGTGAAATCGTCGTACAAACATCTTGATGCAAAGAGTACGCCTACAGCTGATGATAGCAGAAAAAGCTGTAGTAGGTGAGTCATCTCTGTGTTTACAATCTGAAAAGAACATAGAAAAGTACATTCCTTTTTATCGTACTCAGTCTCTTAAAACTTCACCGACACAGTTTCAATCAGCCATATTACAGTAAAGCTTTGCATTCTACCATAAAAACATCCAAAACATTTCTCGCCATTTTCCTTGCATCTTTTGTCTAAATGAATGCAAGCACACGTTCAATATTCGATTTCGCCTATTACGAATATGCGACATGGTTCCTAAGTAATGTTTTTTCCGATTGAATTATTCAATCTTTTTAAAACTTTATTTTATACACCTCCTCCTTTCACACAATGTGTAACTGTTGTTCACAAACTGATTGAAGACAAAGTTCACCTATGTTGATCAGTTTAGGTGCCCTAAACTGTAAGAGGGCCCCGGTCTATTGCCAAGTCTGTCCCCGCGTTAATCCGACACCGACGTATTTACAGCAGTACTTATTTGACATCTCACTTGAATATTATGTTTTTTATTTCAAGCAAGCGAATTTAGTCGGCAAATTGCTTTGACACGATATTCCTGCGTGGCCCATAACGAGCAAATAGCATCAGTGCAATATATTCATGCCAGATAAATTCTAACGTGATATGAATACAAAAAATAGACAAAATACTATCGCTTTTCAGCTGTTCTTGGGATAGTATCACAACCATTTTTAGCATTAAATCAGTTTTTAAATTGTATTATAATCATCCTTAGGCATATGGAAGCAAATTGAAAAAAAAGAAAAACAGGCTGAAATCAGAGTCAGCGGTCTAGATGGCTCACAGCAACTTGACACGTAATACTTAATTATTTTTGTGGGAATCGATTTCAACTCTAGAATTAAGATCGAAGAGGAATAAGAGCATCGGGCATTCAGACACCCAAAATATAATATATTTGTCAACGTTACATAGGATACCTATACTGATAAAACATGATCAATACAATAATCAATCAAACAAGTGCATTTTTTTCTACATGAGATACTCACCAGGTAGAACGAATTGTGAAACAGAAAAGACCACAAGACTAAGCAAGCTGTTCTTTTAAACCCTACGTGTCATATCGTTAGCTAATAAAGAAGAATGATGAGTAGGCGTCTACGAATTTTTCCTCAGCCAAATTAAGCTGCCAGCATGATAAAGCTTTAAACCAAAATTGTACAAAATGAAAGACTAGTGGTATTACGCAGTGCTTATCTAAATATATCATACCCCCACTAACTCCTAATTGAAAACTTTAATTTAGTTTATGTTGTAATTTAAAATATAACTTATTAATACAATTATTCAGCATTCAACACTAGTAATTAAAAGAATATCGTGTATGTTCGTAATCAAAATGTAACATAGGCCACGCCATCCTAAAACTATTTACTACAAGGCCCATCGAAGCATGTTCTGCCTACCACTACAGTTTCAGCTTCCTAACTCGGCAGGAGGATTCAAAACTCTTTCCCATAATTCAACATCAAACCATACCCAAACCATACAAGGCCCGCCACACCTCTATTCGCACATCAAAAGACCCACTATAACCTCTCTACCCTCATACCATAACTTCAATAACCTCCATATCCTAATACCAGACACACCATAACCTCCCTATCCTGATACAATACTCATCACAACCTCCATCCCCTAATAGAAAGCCCACTACAACTTCCCTATCATTATAGCAAAGCCCACAAAATCCCCATCCGTACCACAAGACCCACCATAACCTCCCTACCCTAATTCCCCACCTCAAACTCCTAGCCTAATACAAGGCCTACCCTTACAAACAAAGTTTCTTTAAAGTATGTAGAACAATTATTTTTATTATAATTATTGACAGAGTCGTTGGTAAAAACAAATAGTAATAAGCTATTATATTAAATAAGTTGCATACCGGTGCTCTGCCACGGTAAATCTTTTTAAAATGTACCAACATGGGAACAGAAAAAAACTAAACACAACACAAATTCAACACAAACACAGCACAATACAAATACAAATACAACACAAACAAAACACAACACAACTCAAACACAACACAACACAAACACAACACAAACACAACACAAACACAACACAAACACAACACAAACACAACAAAAACACTACACAAACACAAACACAAATAAAAACCCAAACAAAATGCAAACAAACACAATGCAAACACATACAAAAACACAAACGCAACACACAAACAAAAAGACAACACTCATAAATTTGCATTCACCTTTTTGCTAATTATATTATTGCGACAATAATTCCTTCTTGGACGTCCGTAGATTTTGTATTCACATTTTCTTTATTAGCTTGAGTTGAATTTATTTTTAAATTACCTCCCTTGTAAAATTACAAAACAGTTTTTAATTAATTCGTGTTTTCGACCCTATTATTATTACATGTGTGACCTACTTAGGTCGAGTCATTTTTATTTTGACATTGTATAATTCCTTATATGGAATGATGGTGTAACACCTGGGGTTTTTCCACTGACTTATTAAGGTGTTTGAGACATAGAAATTTTCCATTAAAATCTGATTGAATGATTCTGATCAGATGATTATCCCAACCAATGGCGACATGAGTTGAGGATAACCTCCCCTGTCACAGAAGTCTTTAATTGCACTGCACACTCGCAACACGAGGCAGTTTTTCTTGACCTGGCAGTCTACAGGCCGTTTTACCTTATTCAGGCAGCCGTCCATATTGTCCGGCTATAGACTCTGACCATTTGAACGTGAGAGTACTTAAGACCTGTGTGTGCCTTGCTTTCTTAAGTGATTTAGTCTTCTAGTTTACTATTACTTGTCGCTAAGTAATTCCTGAAGCTACAGCAGAGTTGTGTGGCCTGTAGCTGTTCTTGAGACAGTGTAGAAATCTGTGATAGTGTTTTTTCCTGCATTTTGTAAGTTGGGTTTTTGATATTTTATACATTAAATATTTTATCTAGTTCATCTTTGTGTTCTGCCACAACTGTGTTCGCTGATTAAAAGGTCGTATGTAGATTGGATGAGTGTTAATTACAATAGTATCACTAGCTTCCCTAGACATTAAATTCGAGCCCTAGTGGTCGTTGTGTTAAGTGTTCATCCACTTAGGCCGTAAGGCATTTGCATATGACCCCGAAAAAAGAATCCGGGGACGTTCTCCTTCTATTTGGCTGATAGATAGGTTAACGTTACAAAGTGGGGGCCCGTCCGGGATTTAATCTGTCGTTCCAGTTGTTGGTTGTCAGTTAAACACTAAGTTTAGTCTGATCTAGTTGTTTTTTTATCCAGTGTAGCGCCGTGGTCTTACAACGCGCGCTCAGGCTAGAGTATCTAGGTCAAATAAGCAGACGTGTCACGTCCTACTTTTAGAGGTCAAGTACACGGCCCAACGCTGTGTATTAATTTAAAGAATCTAGGCTTGTTGTGATTTTCAAGTTAGTGTTATGGAGTCTTTTTTGGCTAATCCTACTTTTGAAGGTGTAGAAAAGTTGAGTAGAAAAGTGTTGATTAGTCTTGTTAAGGAATTGAAATTGGATTATTCTGTTACGCAGAAGTCAGAGGTGTTGAGAGATAAAATTGTTGTTCATTTCATTAATGAAGGGGTATTTGATGAAAGTTTGTTGGCTGGTGTGTTACTCCGCGAGGAGAAAGTTGCTTTAGAGAAGGCATTAAAAGAACAGGAGTTGGAAGTTAAAATTGCTTTAGATAGGAGGAGGTTGGAATCAGAATTGGGTAAAGTTAGTGATGTCACTTCTCTGGTAGATCCAAAAAAGTTGTCGGTAGGGCAAGTGATTGCCAAATTTGGGAAATTAGTTCCTAAATTTGATGAAACAGATTTGGTCGTTTTCTTTAACTCGTTTGAGAGTTTAGCGAAGACATGTGAATGGCCCGAAACTTCCATTACTGCTTTATTGAGCTCTGTCCTTACTGGGAAAGCTGCAAAAACATACCAGGCACTCTCTCACGACGTTCAAAATAACTATAGTTTGGTCAAGACTGCCATTTTAAAGGCCTACGCACTGACGCCCGAGGCCTATCGGACAAAATTCCGAACACTCCGCAAGTTACCCACACAATCACATGTGGAATTTCTCTTTGAAAAGGAGAAAATATTTTCAAGGTGGCTACACTCGGAGGAAGTTTCTGAGTTTGAGAAACTCAGGTCACTTATCCTAAGGGAAGAATTCCTATCGTCCCTGCCTGAAGAGATACGACTACACATTCTGGATAACAAGATAACTGACATCCAGAAGGCTGCTGAGTCGGCTGACACATATATGTTGGTGCATAAGAAACCACCGGTGTCAGGAAACCGCCTCAACCCCGTGCTCCCCCTTTTTGGCAGCAATCATCCTGTTGGCCAACATTTGAAGGCATCACAGTCCAGAGAGAAACCAAGATCAACTCTCAATCGTCGAGCGGTATGCCAGTTCTGCAAAAGGCCTGGTCATCTTGTCAAAGACTGTTACAAACGTCTTCAGAATAACAGAGAGGTGGTGCGTACTTCCGCGCACTATGCTCTATCCCCTCAAGCAGCCAGTTCAACTATGAACTCTAGAATTCTAAAGGACTCTAATCCTAAGTGTCCGCAAGAAGGTAGTCAAGTCTCCACACATTATGTGCAGTCACATTTTGACTGTTCTCGCCACCATCCAGTTTCTTCCGAGTCTACCGATCTCGAGAGATCGAGAAAAGTTGACTTTTCATCTTTTATTGCCGAAGCCATCATTAGCAAACCAGGTGATCCGTTGTCTCAGAAGAATATCACCGTTCTAAGAGACACAGGAGCGTCACAATCACTCCTTTTGAAAAGTTCAATGGACATTACACCAGAGACGAACACCGGAAGGATTTCCATTATCCAGGGAGTAGGGACGAAATCTACTGTCGTCCCTCTACACAAGTTTGCCCTGAAACATCATCTCGTCGAAGGTGAGGTCATTTTAGGTGTGATAGATAGTATTCCTGTCCCAGGAGTACACCTACTTCTAGGGAATGACCTTGCGGGAAGCAAAGTATACCCCTGTACGGTTTCAGACCCTTTGTCAACAGTTCCAGATAATGATTATGAACTGTATCCTGCATGTGCGGTGACAAGAAGCCAGACCAAACAATTGGCTGACACAACGTCTGAACCACACCTACCATCATCGTCAAGAAATTCGACTCCCAAACTGGAGTCTATGCTTCCAGAAAACACAAGCTTGGGCTTACCCCTGAGAATATCTCAGGAAGACATCATTAAAGCTCAACAAGTCGACGCGGAACTCAAAGCAACGGTCGAAAAATCTCTATCATCTGACGATGGAGAATATTTCTCCGAGAACGGCCTCTTCTTTCGTCGCGCTATACCAGTGATTGCCTCTCCAGCCGAACCATGGTTGGGTAAAAACCAGCTGTGGGTTCCTCCACCTTATCGGCATGAAATACTGAAACTGGCACATGACCATCCAATGTCAGCGCACCCAGGAGTCACTAAAACGACGGCGAAGATCAAAGAACTGTTCTTTTGGCCCAAAATGAGAAAAGATGTGTCGCGTTACTGCAGAAGTTGCACGAACTGTCAGTTGGCCGGAAAGCCAAACCAGACAATTCCTAAGGCCCCTTTGAGTCCGATTCCTGTATTAGAAGAACCCTTTTCTAAAATCGTCATGGACTGTGTAGGTCCCTTGCCTAAAACCAAGGCGGGCAACGAGTACCTACTTACCTTTATGTGTTCAAGTACCCGTTTTCCCGAGGCGATTCCCTTACGGAACATTAAGGCAAAGACTGTAGTCAGAGCCATGACCCGGTTCTTCACTACCTTTGGATTACCTAGAATCGTGCAAACAGATCAAGGCAGCAACTTCACCAGTCACCATTTTCAGGAAGCGCTAGCCAAGCTAGGCGTTACCCACATCACCAGCTCAGCCTACCACCCTCAGTCTCAAGGCGTACTTGAGAGGTTCCACCAAACCCTCAAAACCATGCTAAGGACATTCGCTAACAGTAACACCCAATGGGATGAGTCTGTTCCTTGGATTATTTTCGCCGCGAGGGACTGTGTCCAGGACTCTTTA